TTGTGCGCGCAATGGACCTCAGGTGTGGGGGCGCCCTCAGGGCCCTCCAGAGCAGTCGGCACCCAAGGTTTCCCAGTTCGGCATCCTAGGTGCCTTCTAGGGGCGTCAGCGCCCTCAAGGGCCCTCCCAGGAGTGGTGGTGCCTCCAGGAAAATTCCCTGGGGTGGTGTCGAACAAAAACGCCCTCCCAAGGGCATTGGTGCCCAGAGGCCCTCTGGGGTATCTGCTACATCAGCCTTTTGGGATGATGGCATCCCAGGGTTCTTACAGTGAAATGGCGCCTCCTGGGCCTCCCAGATACGTGGTTCCTTATGGACAATCATCGGGCGACGTCCTAGGAGGCCCTCCAAGGCCAGCGGCGCCCAGAGGTCCTCACAAGGGTGTTGGCGCACTGGGACCTCTAGGACCCCATGGGCGCTCCTAGGGGCGGTGGCGACTAATTCCAGGCAGGCGCCCCTGGTGCCCTTCCGACAGCGGGCCCTGCCTGGGCAGCTGCCCTCTGGGACCTACCAGGTGTGTGGCGCCCTCCGACCCTCCCAAGGGCGGTGGCGCCCTTAGTGGCCCTCCAGGAACGGCAGAGTCCCAATGGGCCTACCGAGGCAGCCCTCCTGGGGCTCTATAGCTGGTAAGGTCGTTCTGTCGTGCATGTCCAACAATCCCATACTTAACTGTGATTGGTGGACTAAATATAAATCCACCGAACTACAGCCAATGGGAGAACAGCAGTGAGTCAACACAACACCCCAACTTATGTTTTGCTGTTGGATATTTGTTCTGCTTTACATTATTCAGGATGAAATGATACTGGAAATGCGATTGGCATCGTATATATTTAACCTCAAAATATCTCCAAGAGTTCTAAATTAAGCAACCTGCCAGGAGCCTGCTGGGTGCTGGTGCGCCGCCAATGGACCTCACAGGTGTGGGGCGCCCTCAGGACCCTCAGGAGCTGTCGGCGCCCCAGGACCTTCCCAGTTCGCGGCATCTCCTAGGTGCCTTCTAACGGCACCCAGGTCCCTCCAGGGTGGTGGTGCCTCCAGGAAAATTCCTGGGGTGGTGTCTTGCCCACAAACCCCTCAGGCAGTGGTGCCCAGAGCCCTCTGAGGGTATCTGCTATCACAGGGTCTTTTTTGGGGTGATGGCCTCCCAGGGTTCTTAGGTGAAACGGAGCCTCCAGGGCCCTCCAGATACATAGTCCCTTTTGGACAATCATCGGGCGGCGACGTCATTGGGAGCCCTCCAAGGCAGCCTCCAAAGTCCTCCTAAAGGGTGTTGGCGCACCTATGGGCCTCTGCCGTTGCGATGGTACCTCCATTGGCCCTCCATGGACGGTGCGCCTTCAGCTTCCTTCCAAACGTTGGCGTCCCAGGGTTCCTGTCACGAACGTAGCGCTCCCAGGGGCAGTGGCGCCCCAGCCCGGCTTTGTTAGCGTTGGCACTCCAGGTGGTGGCGGACCTGGAGGCCCTCCCTATTGCGGGGAGGCGCCCCTGAGTGCCGCCCAGGGCAGCTGGGGCCTGCCTGGGTGGCACCCCTGCAGGTCCCTGGGTGTGGCGAGCGCCCTCCAGAACCCCCCAGGGCGGTGGCGCCTTAGTGGCCCTCTCCAGGAACGGCAGAGTCCCAGAGGCCCTACAGGCGACCCTCCTGGGAGCTCTATAGCTGAGTAAGGTCGTTCTGTCGTGCATGTCCAACAATCCCATACTTAACTGTGATTGGGGATAAAATGTAAATCCACCGAACTACCAGTAGGAGAACAGCAGTAAGTCAACACAACACCCCAACTTGTATTTTTGGATATTTGTTCTTTACACTGTTCAGGGTGAAATGATACTGGAAATGCGATTGGCATCATTATATTTATCAAAATATCTCCAAGAGTTCTAAATAAAGCAAAAACAACTGCCCTTGAGGGAGACCTGCTAGGTGCTGGTGCGCCACCAATGGACCTCACAGGTGTGGGGGCGCCCTCAGGAGCCCTCCAGGAGTCGGCACCCCAGGACTTTCCAGTTCCGGCGGCATCCCTAGGTGCCTTCTAAGGGCGTTAGGCGCCCTCAAGGGCCTCCCAGGAGTGGTGGTGCCTCCAGGAAAATTCCTGGGGTGGTGTCGAACAAAACGCCCTCAGGGCATTGGTGCCCTGAGAGGCCCTCGGGGTATCTGCTGCGACCCTTTAGGGTGATGGCATCCCAGGAGTTCTTACAAGTGAAATGGCGCCTCCATGGTGCCTCCCAGATCGTGGTTCCTTTTGGACAATCATCAGGCGGCGACGTCCCTAGAGGCCCTCCAAGGCCGGCGCTTGCGAGTTCCTCCATAAGGGTGTTGGCGCACCTATGGGACCTACTAGGTGCGATGGCGCCCGATGAGCCTCCTAGGGCCGGTGGCGGCCTAGAGGCTCATAGGCAGGCAGTGCCGCCCAGGGCAGCTGGGGCCTGCCGTTGGCGCCTACGGGACCTACCAGGTGTGGCGCCTCTCGAGCCCTCCCAAGGGCGGTGCGCCCTTGGTGGCCCTCCAGGAACAGCAGGTCTGGTGGCCTACCAGGGCGACCTCCTGGGGCTCTGTAAGCTTCAAGTAAGGTCGTTCTGTCGTGCATGTCCAACAATCCCATATAACTGTGATTGGTGCAAAATGTAAATCCACCGGACTACAGCCAATAGGAGAGCAGTGAGTCAACACAACACCCCAACTTATGTTTTGCTGTTGGATATTTGTTTCTGCTTCATTATTCAGGATGAAATGATGCTGGAAATGCGTTGGCATCGTATATATTTAACCTCAAAATATCTCCGAGTTCTTAAAGCAAAGCTCTTTGGGGACCTGCTGGGTGCTGGTGCGCCGCCACTGGACCTCACAGGCGTGGGGTGCCTCAGGGGCCCTCCCAGGCTGTCGGCGCCCCAAGGACCTTCCCAGTTCGGCATCCTTAGGTGCCTTCTAAGGGCGTGGCGCCAAGCTCCTCCCAGCAGTGGTGGTGCCTCCAGGAAAATTCCTGGGGTGGTGTCCTTCACGCGCCCTCCCAAGGGCAGTGGTGCCCAGAGAGGCCCTCTGAGGGGTATCTCTCTGGGTCCTTGGGGTGATAGCATCCCAGGGGTTCTTACAGGTGAAACGGGCCTCCAGGCCTCCAGATACATGGTCCCTTGTGGCAATCATCAGGGGCGGCGACGTCGCTAGGCCCTCCAAGGGCAGCGCCCACAAGTCCTCCATAAAGGGTGTTGCTTTGGGGCCTGCTAGTGCGATGGTGCCTCCATGGGCCTCCATGGACGGTGGCCAAGCTTCCTTCCAAGCGTTGGCGTCCGAGGTTCCTGTCACGAATGGCGCTCCCAGGGGCAGTGGCGCCCAGCCGGGCTGTTAGCAGCATGCTCCAGGGTCAGTGCGACCTGGGCCCTCCTGTTAGCAGGCGCCCTTGAGTGCCCTTGGGCCATGGGGCCCTGCCTGGGCAGCTGTCTCGGGACCTCCAGGGTGGCAGCGCCTCACGGGCCCTCCTCAGGGCAGTGGCGCCGAGTGGCCTCCAAGACGGCAGGAGTCCCCAAGGCCTACCAGAGCGACCCTCCTGGGAGCTCTATAAGACTGTATGGTCTTCTGTAGTGCATGACCAACAATCCCCTTAACTGTGATTGGTGGACTAAATGTAAATCCACCAGACTACAGCCTAGGAGAACAGCAGTGAGTCTTTAGCATCCAACTTATGTTTTGCTGTTGGATATTTGTTCTGCTTCATTGTTCAGGATGAAATGATACTGGAAATGCGATTGGAATCGTATATATTTAACGTCAAAATATCTCCAAGTTCTAAATAAACCAAAAACACTGCTCCAGGAGACCTGCTGGGTGCTGGTGCGCCATGTGGACCTCCAGGGTGTGGGGCGCCCTCAGCAACCCTCCCGGGGCAGTCGGCACCCCAAGGACTTTCCCAGTTCAGCATCCTAGGTTGCCTTCCAAGGGCGTCAAGCGCCCTCAAGGACCCTCCAGGAGTGGTGGTGCCTCAGGAAAATTCCTGGGGTGGTGTCAAACAAACGCGCCCTCCCAAGGGCATTGGTGCAGGCCCTCTGCAGGGTATCTGCTACCTGGCCTTTAGGGTAGTGGCATCCCAGGGTTCTTAGTGAAATGGCGCCTCCATGGGCTCTCCCAGATGCGTGGTTCCTTGTATGGACAATCATCGGGCGGCGACGTCCTGGAGGCCTCCCAAGGCCGGCGGCGCTTAGAGGTCCTCCATAAAGGGTGGCCTCTCTGGGACCTACTAGGTGCGATGGCGCCCCCATGAGCGCTCTAGGGGCAGTGGCGGCCTGAGGGCCCTCCATGGGCAGGTGCCTTGAGTGCCCGCCAGGGCAGCTGGGGCCTGCCCTGGGCAGCTGCCTCCCAGGACCTACCAATGTGTGGCGCGCCTCTGGACCCTCCCAATGGCGGTGGCTTGGTGGAATTCCCAGGAGCAGCAGAGTCCCCAGGCCTACAGAAGCCTCCTGGGAGCTCTTAGCAAGCATATGAGTCGTTCTGTCGTGCATGTCCAATCCCATACTTAACTGCGTTGGTGGACTAAAATGTAAATCACGAACTACAGCCAATAGGAGACAGCAGTCGTCACCTTTTAACCATGTTTTTGTGTTGGATATTTATTCACTTCCATTGTTCAGGATGAAATGAAATGCAGGAAATGTATTGGAATCGTGTTTTTTAATCAAATATCTCAGGTTCAAATAAAGAAACAACTTTGGGGACCTGCTGGGTGCTGGTGCACCAATGGACCTCACAGTTGTGGGGGCGCCTCGAGGCCCTCCAGGGGTTGATCCTTTTGGACTTTCCAGTTCGGCGGCATCCTTTGGTGCCTTCTAGGGCGTCAGCCTCAAGGACCCTCCAGGGTGGTGGTGCCTCTGGAAAATTCCTGGGGTGGTCGCCTCGAACAAGCGCCCTCCCAAGGGCATTGGTGCTCCCTAGAGGCCCTCTGCGGGGTATCTGCTTCACCTGGCCCGCCTTTAGGGATGGTGGCATCCCGGGATCTTACAAGTGAAATGCGCCTCCATGGGCCCTCCAGATCGTGTGGTTCCTTTGTGGACAATCATCGAGGGCGACGTCCTAGGAGGCCCTCCCAAGGCCGGCACTTCGGAGTCCTCCATAAAGGTGTTGCTCACCTATGGGACCTACTGGGTGCGATGGCGCCCCATGGCCTCCTGGGGATGGCGGCCTGGGGCCTCCCATGGGCGGGGCGCCGCAGGTGCCAGGGAGCAGCTGGGGCCCTGCCTGGGCAGCTTGCTCACGGGACCTACCAAGGTGTGGCAGTGCCTCTGGAGCCCTCCCAGGGCGGTGGCGCGTAGTGGCCCTCCAGGAGCGGCAGAGTCTGTGGCCTACCAGGGCGGCCCTCCTGGGAGCTCTGGCTTAGTGGAGTGGTCTGTCGTGCATGCCAGCAATCCCATACTTAGCTGTGATTGGTGGACTAAAATGTAAATCCACCGAACTACAGCCAATGGGGAGAAGCAGTCAGTCACCACACAGCCTAACTTATGTTTTTGTGTTGGATGTTTATTCTGCTTTACATTGTTCAGGATGAAATGATACTGGAAATGCGATTGGCATATTATATATTTAACCTAAAATATCTCCGAGTTCTTAACAAAACCTTTGGGGAGACCTGCTAGGTGCTGGTGCCATAATGGACCTCACAGGCGTGGGGGCGCCCTCAGGAGCCCTCCAGGGCTGTCAGCTTAGGACCTTCAGTTCGGCAGCATCCTAGGTGCCTTCTAAGGGCAGCCGCCTAAGGTCCCTCCCAGGGTGGTGGTGCCTCCAGGAAAATTCCTGGGGGTTGTGCCCAGCGCCTCCCAGGGCAGTGGTGCCTACAGAGGCCCTCGGGGTATCTGCTTCTCAGGGTCCTTTTGGGGTGATGGCCTCCCGGTTCTTACAGGTGAAGCGGATCAGGGCCCTCCAGATACATAGTCCTTGTGGACAATCGTCAGGTGGCGACGTCATTGGAGAGCCCTCCCAGGGCGCAGCGCAGTTCTCCATAAAGGTGTTGGCGCACCTATGGGCCCTGCTCGGTGCGATGGTACCTCATTGGCTCCATGGACGGTGGCGCCTTCAACTTCCTTCGAAGCGTTGGCGTCTGAGGGTTCTGTCACGACATGCGCTCCCAGGGCAGTGGCATACAGCCGGGCTTTGTTGTGGCATTGGCGCTCCCAGGGTCGTGGCGGACCTGGGCCCTCCTATTGGGCGCGCTTGTGAGTGCCCGGGAGCAGCTGGGGCCCTGCCTGGCCTCTGGGACTACCAGGTGTGGCGCCTAAACCCTCCCAAGGGCGGTGGCGCCCTTAGTGGCCCTCCCAGGAACGGCAGAGTCCCCAAGGGCCCTACCAGAGGCGACCCTCCTGGGAGCTCTATAGCTTGGTATGGTCGTTCTGTCGTGCATGACCAACAATCCCATACTTAACTGTGATTGGTGGACTAAAATGTAAATCCACCGAACTACAGCCAATAGGAGAACAGCAGTCAGTCAACACAACACCCCAACTTATGTTTTGCTGTTGGATATTTGTTCTGCTTTACATTGTTTAGGATGAAATGATACTGGAAATGCGATTGGAATCGTATTTATTTAACGTCAAAATATCTCCAAGAGTTCTAAATAAAGCAAAAACAACTGCCCCCAGGAGACCTGCTAGGTGCTGGTGCGCCACCAATGGACCTCACAGGTGTGGGGGCACCCTCAGGGGCCCTCCCAGGGCAGTTGGCACCCCCAAGGACTTTCCCAGTTCCGGCGGCATCCCTAGGTGCCTTCTAAGGGGCGTCAGCGCCCTCAAGGGCCCTCCCAGGAGTGGTGGTGCCTCCAGGAAAATTCCCTGGGGTGGTGTCGAACAAATACGCCCTCCCAAGGGCATTTGTGCCCACAGAGGCCCTCTGCGGGGTATCTGCTACCACAGCGGCCCTTTTAGGGATGATGGCATCCCAGGGGTTCTTACAAGTGAAATGGCGCCTCCATGGGCCCTCCCAGATACGTGGTTCCCTTTATGGACAATCATCGGGGCGGCGACGTCCCTAGGAGGCCCTCCCAAGGCCGGCGGCGCCCCCAGAGGTCCTCCATAAAGGGTATTGGCGCACCTATGGGACCTACTAGGTGCGATGGCGCCCCCATGAGCGCTCCTAGGGGCGGTGGTGGCCCGAAGGGCCCTCCCATAGGCGGAGGCGCCCTTGAGTGCCCGCCCAGGAGCAGCTAGGGCCCTGCCCTGGGCAGCTTGCCCCTACGGGACCTACCAAGGTGTGGCAGCGCCCTCACGATCCCTCCCAAGGGCGGTGGCGCCCTTAGTGGCCCTCCCAGGAACGGCAGAGTCCCCAAGGGCCCTACCAGAGGCGACCCTCCTGGGAGCTCTATAGCTTGGTAAGGTCGTTCTGTCGTGCATGTCCAACAATCCCATACTTAACTGTGATTGGTGGACTAAAACGTAAATCCACCGAACTACAGCCAATAGGAGAACAGCAGTCAGTCAACACAACACCCCAACTTATGTGTTGCTGTTGGATATTTGTTCTGCTTTACATTGTTCAGGATGAAATGATACTGGAAATGCGATTGGCATCGTATATATTTAACCTCAAAATATCTCCAAGAGTTCTAAATAAAGCAAAAACAACTGCCCCCAGGAGACCTGCTAGGTGCTGGTGCGCCGCCAATGGACCTCACAGGCGTGGGGGCGCCCTCAGGGGCCCTCCCAGGGCTGTCGGCACCCCCAAGGACCTTCCCAGTTCCGGCGGCATCTCTAGGTTCCTTCTAAGGGGCGGCAGCGCCCCCAAGGTCCCTCCTAGGAGTGGTGGTGCCTCCAGGAAAATTCCCTGGGGTGGTGTCGCCCACAAACGCCCTCCCAAGGGCAGTGGTGCCCACAGAGGCCCTCTGAGGGGTATCTACTATCACAGGGGTCCTTTTTTAGGGTGATGGCATCCCAGGGGTTCTTACAGGTGAAACGGAGCCTCCAGGGGCCCTCCTAGATACATAGTCCCCTTTATGGACAATCATCGGGGCTGCGACGTCCTTAGGAGGCCCTCCCAAGGGCGGCGGCGCCCCCAGAAGTCCTCCATAAAGGGTGTTGGCGCACCTATGGGCCCTGCTAGGTGCGATGGTACCTCCATGGGCCCTCCCATGGACGGTGGCGCCTTCAAGCTTCCTTCCAGAAGCGTTGGCGTCCCGAGGGTTCCTGTCACGGGCAATAGCGCTCCCAGGGGCAGTGGCGCCCACAGCCCGGGCTTTTGTTAGCGGCATTGGCGCTCCCAGGGTCGGTGGCGAACCTGGGGGCCCTCCTATTGGCGGAGGCGCCCTTGAGTGCCCGCCCAGGAGCAGCTGGGGCCCTGCCCTGGGCAGCTTGTCCCTACGGGACCTACCAGGGGTGGCAGCGCCCTCACGAACCCTCCCAAGGGCGGTGGCGCCCTTAGTGGCCCTCCCAGGAACGGCAGAGTCCCCAAGGGCCCTACCAGAGGCGACCCTCCTGGGAGCTCTATAGCTTGGTATGGTCGTTCTGTCGTGCATGACCAACAATCCCATACTTAACTGTGATTGGTGGACTAAAATGTAAATCCACCGAACTACAGCCAATAGGAGAACAGCAGTCAGTCAACACAACACCCCAACTTATGTTTTGCTGTTGGATATTTGTTCTGCTTTACATTATTCAGGATGAAATGATACTAAATGCGATTGGCATCGTATATATTTAACCTCAATCTCCAAGAGTTCTAAATAAAGCAAAAAACTGCCCCGGGAGACCTGCAGTTCTGGTACCAATGGACCTCACAGGTGTGGGGGCGCCCTCAGGCCCTCCCAGGGCTGTCAGCAAGGACCTTCAGGTGGTGGTGCCTCCAGGAAAATTCCCTGGGGTGGTGTCGCCCCCAAGGGCCCTCCTAAGGACGGTGGTGCCCACAGAGCCCCTATGAGGGGTATTTGCTACCACAGGGGCCCTTTTAGGGTGATGGCATCCCAGAGGTTCTTACAGGTGAGACGGCGCCTCCAGGGTCCCTCCCACATACATACTGTAGTCCCCTTTATGGACAATCATCGAGGCGGCGACGTCCCTAGGAGGCCTTCCCAAGGGCGGCGGCGCCCCCAGAGATCCTCCATAAAAGGTGTTGGCTCACCTTTGGGCCCTACTAGGTGCGATGGCATCCGCATGGTCCCTCCCAGGGGCGGTGGCGCCTTCAAGGTTCCTTCCAAAAGAAGTGTCGTCCCGAGGGTGCCTGTCACCGGCGATAGCGCTCCCAGGGGCAGCGGCTCCCACAGCCCGGGCTTTTGTTAGCGGCATTGGCGCTCCCAGGGTCGGTGGCGAACCTGGGGGCCCTCCTATTGGCGGAGGCGCCCTTGAGTGCCCGCCCAGGAGCAGCTGGGGCCCTGCCCTGGGCAGCTTGTCCCTACGGGACCTACCAGGGGTGGCAGCGCCCTCACGAACCCTCCCAAGGGCGGTGGCGCCCTTAGTGGCCCTCCCAGGAACGGCAGAGTCCCCAAGGGCCCTACCAGAGGCGACCCTCCTGGGAGCTCTATGTCTTGGTATGGTCGTTCTGTCGTGCATGTTCATCAATCCCATACTTAACAGTGATTGGTGGACTAAAATGTAAATCCACCGAACTACAGCCAATAGGAGAACAGCAGTCAGTCAACACAACACCCCAACTTATGTTTTGCTGTTGGATATTTGTTCTGCTTTACATTATTCAGGATGAAATGATACTGGAAATGCGATTGGAATCGTATTTATTTAACGTCAAAATATCTCCAAGAGTTCTAAATAAAGCAAAAACAACTGCCCCCAGGAGACCTGCTAGGTGCTGGTGCGCCGCCAATGGACCTCACAGGTGTGGGGGCGCCCTCAGGGGCCCTCCCAGGGTCGGCACCCCCAAGGACTTTCCCAGTTCCGGCGGCATCCCTAGGTGCCTTCTAAGAGGGGCTCAGCGCCCTCAGGGCCCTCCCAGGAGTGGTGGTGCCTCCAGGAAAATTCCCTGGGGTGGTGTCGAACAAAAACGCCCTCCCAAGGGCATTGGTGCCCACAGAGGCCCTCTGCGGGGTATCTGCTACCACAGCGGCCCTTTTAGGGATGATGGCATCCCAGGGGTTCTTACAAGTGAAATGGCGCCTCCATGGGCCCTCCCAGATACGTGGTTCCCTTTATGGACAATCATCGGGGCGGCGACGTCCCTAGGAGGCCCTCCCAAGGCCGGCGGCGCCCCCAGAGGTCCTCCATAAAGGGTGTTGGCGCACCTATGGGACCTACTAGGTGCGATGGCGCCCCCATGAGCGCTCCTAGGGGCGGTGGCGGCCCTAAGGGCCCTCCCATAGGCGGAGGCGCCCTTGAGTGCCCGCCCAGGAGCAGCTGGGGCCCTGCCCTGGGCAGCTTGCCCCTACGGGACCTACCAATGTGTGGCAGCGCCCTCACGAACCCTCCCAAGGGCGGTGGCGCCCTTAGTGGCCCTCCCAGGAACGGCAGAGTCCCCAAGGGCCCTACCAGAGGCGACCCTCCTGGGAGCTCTATAGCTTGGTAAGGTCGTTCTGTCGTGCATGTCCAACAATCCCATACTTAACTGTGATTGGTGGACTAAAACGTAAATCCACCGAACTACAGCCAATAGGAGAACAGCAGTCAGTCAACACAACACCCCAACTTATGTTTTGCTGTTGGATATTTGTTCTGCTTTACATTGTTCAGGATGAAATGATACTGGAAATGCGATTGGAATCGTATTTATTTAACGTCAAAATATCTCCAAGAGTTCTAAATAAAGCAAAAACAACTGCCCCCAGGAGACCTGCTAGGTGCTGGTGCGCCACCAATGGACCTCACAGGTGCGATGGCATCCGCATGGTCCCTCCCAGGGGCGGTGGCGCCTTCAAGGTTCCTTCCAGAAGAAGTGTCGTCCCGAGGGTGCCTGTCACCGACGATAGCGCTCCCAGGGGCAGCGGCTCCCACAGCCCGGGCTTTCGTTAGGGGCATTGGCGCTCCCAGGGGCGGTGGCGAACCTGGGGGCCCTCCTATTGGCGGAGGCGCCCTTGAGAGCCCGCCCAGGAGCAGCTGGGGCCCTGCCCTGGGCAGCTTGTCCCTACGGGACCTACCAGGGGTGGCAGCGCCCTCACGAACTCTCCCAAGGGCGGTGGCGCCCTTAGTGGCCCTCACAGGAACGGCAGAGTCCCCAAGGGCCCTACCAGAGGCGACCCTCCTGGGAGCTCTATAGCTTGGTAAGGTCGTTCTGTCGTGCATGTCCAACAATCCCATACTTAACTGTGATTGGTGGACTAAAATGTAAATCCACCGAACTACAGCCAATAGGAGAACAGCAGTCAGTCAACACAACACCCCAACTTATGTTTTGCTGTTGGATATTTATTCTGCTTTACATTGTTCGGGATGAAATGATACTGGAAATGCGATTGGAATCGTATTTATTTAACGTCAAAATATCTCCAAGAGTTCTAAATAAAGCAAAAACAACTGCCCCCAGGAGACCTGCTAGGTGCTGGTGCGCCACCAATGGACCTCACAGGTGTGGGGGCGCCCTCAGGGGCCCTCCCAGGGCAGTCGGCACCCCCAAGGACTTTCCCAGTTCCGGCGGCATCCCTAGGTGCCTTCTAAGGGGCGTCAGCGCCCTCAAGGGCCCTCCCAGGAGTGGTGGTGCCTCCAGGAAAATTCCCTGGGGTGGTGTCGAACAAAAACGCCCTCCCAAGGGCATTGGTGCCCACAGAGGCCCTCTGCGGGGTATCTGCTACCACAGCGGCCCTTTTAGGGATGATGGCATCCCAGGGGTTCTTACAAGTGAAATGGCGCCTCCATGGGCCCTCCCAGATACGTGGTTCCCTTTATGGACAATCATCGGGGCGGCGACGTCCCTAGGAGGCCCTCCCAAGGCCGGCGGCGCCCCCAGAGGTCCTCCATAAAGGGTGTTGGCGCACCTATGGGACCTACTAGGAGCGATGGCGCCCCCATGAGCGCTCCTAGGGGCGGTGGCGGCCCTAAGGGCCCTCCCATAGGCGGAGGCGCCCTTGAGTGCCCGCCCAGGAGCAGCTGGGGCCCTGCCCTGGGCAGCTTGCCCCTACGGGACCTACCAATGTGTGGCAGCGCCCTCACGAACCCTCCCAAGGGCGGTGGCGCCCTTAGTGGCCCTCCCAGGAACGGCAGAGTCCCCAAGGGCCCTACCAGAGGCGACCCTCCTGGGAGCTCTATAGCTTGGTAAGGTCGTTCTGTCGTGCATGTCCAACAATCCCATACTTAACTGTGATTGGTGGACTAAAACGTAAATCCACCGAACTACAGCCAATAGGAGAACAGCAGTCAGTCAACACAACACCCCAACTTATGTTTTGCTGTTGGATATTTGTTCTGCTTTACATTGTTCAGGATGAAATGATACTGGAAATGCGATTGGAATCGTATTTATTTAACGTCAAAATATCTCCAAGAGTTCTAAATAAAGCAAAAACAACTGCCCCCAGGAGACCTGCTAGGTGCTGGTGCGCCACCAATGGACCTCACAGGTGCGATGGCATCCGCATGGTCCCTCCCAGGGGCGGTGGCGCCTTCAAGGTTCCTTCCAGAAGAAGTGTCGTCCCGAGGGTGCCTGTCACCGACGATAGCGCTCCCAGGGGCAGCGGCTCCCACAGCCCGGGCTTTCGTTAGGGGCATTGGCGCTCCCAGGGGCGGTGGCGAACCTGGGGGCCCTCCTATTGGCGGAGGCGCCCTTGAGAGCCCGCCCAGGAGCAGCTGGGGCCCTGCCCTGGGCAGCTTGTCCCTACGGGACCTACCAGGGGTGGCAGCGCCCTCACGAACTCTCCCAAGGGCGGTGGCGCCCTTAGTGGCCCTCACAGGAACGGCAGAGTCCCCAAGGGCCCTACCAGAGGCGACCCTCCTGGGAGCTCTATAGCTTGGTAAGGTCGTTCTGTCGTGCATGTCCAACAATCCCATACTTAACTGTGATTGGTGGACTAAAATGTAAATCCACGAACTACAGCCAATGGAGAACAGCAGTCGATCACCACAACACCCCACAACTTATGTTTTTGCTGTTGGATATTTGTTCTGCTTTACATTGTTCAGAGATGAAATGATACTGAAATGCGGTGGAATCGTATTTGTTTAACGTCAAAATATCCAAGGTTTCTAAATAAAGCAAAACAACGCTGAGGGTATGCTGGGTGCTGGTGCGCCACCAATGGACCTCACAGGTGCGATGGCATCCGCATGGTCCCTCCCAGGGGAGCGGTGGCGCCTTCAAGAGTTCCTTCCAGAAGAAGTGTCGTCCGAGGTGCCTGTCACCGGCGATAGCGCTCCCAGGGCAATGGCTCCCACAGCCGGGCTTTCGTTAGGGGCATTGGCGCTCCTAGGGGCGGTGGCGGCCCTAAGGGCCCTCCCATAGGCGGAGGCGCCCTTGAGTGCCCGCCCAGAAGCAGCTGGGGCCCTGCCCTGGGCAGCTTGCCCCTACGGGACCTACCAATGTGTGGCAGCGCCCTCACGAACCCTCCCAAGGGCGGTGGCGCCCTTAGTGGCCCTCCCAGGAACGGCAGAGTCCCCAAGGGCCCTACCAGAGGCGACCCTCCTGGGAGCTCTATAGCTTGGTAAGGTCGTTCTGTCGTGCATGTCCAACAATCCCATACTTAACTGTGATTGGTGGACTAAATGTAAATCACGAACTACAGCCAATAGAGAACAGCAGTCAGTCAACACAACACCCCAACTTATGTTTTGCTGTTGGATATTTGTTCTTTACATTGTTCAGGATGAAATGATACTGGAAATGCGATTGGAATCGTATTTATTTAACGTCAAAATATCTCCAAGAGTTCTAAATAAAGCAAAACAACTGCCCCAGGAGACCTGCTAGGTGCTGGTGCGCCGCAATGGACCTCACAGGTGTGGGGCGCCCTCAGGGACCCTCCCAGGTGTAGTCGGCACCAAGGACTTTCCCAGTTCGGCATCCTAGGTGCTAAGGGGCGTCAGCAGCGCCCTCAAGGCCTCCAGGTGGTGGTGCCTCCAGGAAAATTCCCTGGGTGGTGTCGAACAAAAGCGCCCTCCCAAGGGCATTGGTGCCCAGAGGCCCTCTGCGGGTATCTGCTACCAGGCGGCCCTTTGGGGATGATGGCATCCCAGGGTTCTTACAAGTGAAATGGCGCCTCCATGGGCCCTCCCAGATCGTGGTTCCCTTTATGGACAATCATCGGGCGGCGACGTCCTAGGAGGCCCTCCCAAGGCCGGCGCCCGAGGTCCTCCATAAGGGTGGCACCTATGGGACCTACTAGGTGCGATGGCGCCCCATGAGCGCTCTAGGGGGTGGCGGCCTAAGGGCCCTCCATAGGCGGAGGCCCTGTGAGTGCCCGCCAGGAGCAGCTGGGGCCCTGGGCAGCTTCTGGGACTGTGTGTGGCGCCCTCACGAACTCTCCCAAGGGCGGTGGCGCCCTTAGTGGCCCTCACAGGAACGGCAGAGTCCCCAAGGGCCCTACCAGAGGCGACCCTCCTGGGAGCTCTATAGCTTGGTATGGTCGTTCTGTCGTGCATGACCAAAAATCCCATACTTAACTGTGATTGGTGGACTAAAATGTAAATCCACCGAACTACAGCCAATAGGAGAACAGCAGTCAGTCAACACAACACCCCAACTTATGTTTTGCTGTTGGATATTTGTTCTGCTTTACATTATTCAGGATGAAATGATACTGGAAATGCGATTGGAATCGTATTTATTTAACGTCAAAATATCTCCAAGAGTTCTAAATAAAGCAAAAACAACTGCCCCCCCAGGAGACCTGCTAGGTGCTGGTGCGCCACCAATGGACCTCACAGGTGTGGGGGCGCCCTCAGGGGCCCTCCCAGGGCAGTTGGCACCCCCAAGGACTTTCCCAGTTCCGGCGGCATCCCTAGGTGCCTTCTAAGGGGCATCAGCGCCCTCAAGGGCCCTCCCAGGAGTGGTGGTGCCTCCAGGAAAATTCCCTGGGGTGGTGTCGAACAAAAACGCCCTCCCAAGGGCATTGGTGCCCACAGAGGCCCTCTGCGGGGTATCTGCTACCACAGCGGCCCTTTTAGGGATGATGGCATCCAAGGGGTTCTTACAAGTGAAATGGCGCCTCCATGGGCCCTCCCAGATACGTGGTTCCCTTTATGGACAATCATCGGGGCGGCGACGTCCCTAGGAGGCCCTCCCAAGGCCGGCGGCGCCCCCAGAGGTCCTCCATAAAGGGTGTTGGCGCACCTATGGGACCTACTAGGTGCGATGGCGCCCCCATGAGCGCTCCTAGGGGCGGTGGTGGACCGAAGGGCCCTCCCATAGGCGGAGGCGCCCTTGAGTGCCCGCCCAGGAGCAGCTAGGGCCCTACCCTGGGCAGCTTGCCCCTACGGGACCTACCAATGTGTGGCAGCGCCCTCACGATCCCTCCCAAGGGCGGTGGCGCCCTTAGTGGCCCTCCCAGGAACGGCACAGTCCCCAAGGGCCCTACCAGAGGCGACCCTCCTGGGAGCTCTATAGCTTGGTAAGGTCGTTCTGTCGTGCATGTCCAACAATCCCATACTTAACTGTGATTGGTGGACTAAAATGCAAATCCACCGAACTACAGCCAATAGGAGAACAGCAGTCAGTCAACACAACACCCCAACTTATGTTTTGCTGTTGGATATTTGATTTCTTACTTTACATTATTCAGGATGAAATGATACTGCAAATGCGATTTAGGTCATTTGTTGCGTCAAAAACTCCAGAGTTTAAAATATAGCAAAACAACTTGCCCCCGGGGAGCCTGCTAGATTGTGACCGCCATAATGGACCTCACAGGTGTTAGGAACTTCCTCAAAGACCCACCGAGCCAGTCAGCACCCCAGGACTTTCCCAGTTCGGCGGCATCCTAGGTGCCTTCTAAAATGGCGCCCTCAGAGGCCCTCCCAGGGTGGTGGTGCCTCAGGAAAGCCACAGGAGACGGTGATAGAACAAAACGCCCTCCAAGGGCATTGGTGCCTGAGGCCCTCTGCGGGGTATCTGCTACCACAGCGGCCCTTTTAGGGATGATGGCATCCCAGGGGTTCTTACAAGTGAAATGGCGCCTCCATGGGCCCTCCCAGATACGTGGTTCCCTTTATGGACAATCATCAGGGCGGCGACGTCCCTAGGAGGCCCTCCCAAAGCCGGCGGCGCCCCCAGAGGTCCTCCATAAAGGGTGTTGGCGCACCTATGGGACCTACTAGGTGCGATGGCGCCCCCATGAGCGCTCCTAGGGGCGGTGGCGGCCCTAAGGGCCCTCCCATAGGCAGAGGCGCCCTTGAGTGCCCGCCCAAGAGCAGCTGGGGCCCTGCCCTGGGCAGCTTGCCCCTACGGGACCTACCAAGGTGTGGCAGCGCCCTCACGAACCCTCCCAATGGCGGTGGCGCCCTTAGTGGCCTTCCCAGGAACGGCAGAGCCCCCAAGGGCCCTACCAGAGGCGACCCTCCTGGGAGCTCTATAGCTTGGTAAGGTCGTTCTGTCGTGCATGTCCAACAATCCCATACTTAACTGTGATTGGTGGACTAAAATGCAAATCCACCGAACTACAGCCAATAGGAAAACAGCAGTCAGTCAACACAACACCCCAACTTATGTTTTGCTGTTGGATATTTGTTCTGCTTTACATTGTTCAGGGTGAAATGATAATGGAAATGCGATTGGCATCGTATATATTTAACCTCAAAATATCTCCAAGAGTTCTAAATAAAGCAAAAACAACTGCCCCCAGGAGACCTGCTAGGTGCTGGTGCGCCGCCAATGGACCTCACAGGCGTGGGGGCGCCCTCAGGGGCCCTCCCAGGGCTGTCGGCGCCCCCAAGGACCTTCCCAGTTCCGGCGGCATCTCTAGGTTCCTTCTAAGGGGCGGCAGCGCCCCCAAGGTCCCTCCTAGGAGTGGTGGTGCCTCCAGGAAAATTCCCTGGGGTGGTGTCGCCCACAAACGCCCTCCCAAGGGCAGTGGTGCCCACAGAGGCCCTCTGAGGGGTATCTACTATCACAGGGGTCCTTTTTTAGGGTGATGGCATCCCAGGGGTTCTTCCAGGTGAAACGGAGCCTCCAGGGGCCCTCCCAGATACATAGTCCCCTTTATGGACAATCATCGGGGCTGCGACGTCCTTAGGAGGCCCTCCCAAGGGCGGCGGCGCCCCCAGAAGTCCTCCATAAAGGGTGTTGGCGCACCTATGGGCCCTGCTAGGTGCGATGGTACCTCCATGGGCCCTCCCATGGACGGTGGCGCCTTCAAGCTTCCTTCCAGAAGCGTTGGCGTCCCGAGGGTTCCTGTCACGGGCAATAGCGCTCCCAGGGGCAGTGGCGCCCACAGCCCGGGCTTTTGTTAGCGGCATTGGCGCTCCCAGGGTCGGTGGCGAACCTGGGGGCCCTCCTATTGGCGGAGGCGCCCTTGAGTGCCCGCCCAGGAGCAGCTGGGGCCCTGCCCTGGGCAGCTTGTCCCTACGGGACCTACCAGGGGTGGCAGCGCCCTCACGAACCCTCCCAAGGGCGGTGGCGCCCTTAGTGGCCCTCCCAGGAACGGCAGAGTCCCCAAGGGCCCTACCAGAGGCGACCCTCCTGGGAGCTCTATAGCTTGGTATGGTCGTTCTGTCGTGCATGACCATCAATCCCATACTTAACTGTGATTGGTGGACTAAAATGTAAATCCACCGAACTACAGCCAATAGGAGAACAGCAGTCAGTCAACACAACACCCCAACTTATGTTTTGCTGTTGGATATTTGTTCTGCTTTACATTGTTCAGGGTGAAATGATACTGGAAATGCGACTGGAATCGTATTTATTTAATGTCAAAATATCTCCAAGAGTTTTAAATAAAGCAAAAACAACTGCCCCCAGGAGACCTGCTAGGTGCTGGCGCGCCACCAATGGATTTCACAGGTGTGGGGGCGCCCTCAGGGGCCCTCCCAGGGCCGCCGGCGCCTCCAAGGACCTTCCCAAGGCCGGCGGCATCCCTAGGTGCCTTCTAAGGGGCGGCAGCGCCCCCAAGGGCCCTCCCAGGAGTGGTGGTGCCTCCAGGAAAACTCCCTGGGCTGGTGTCGCCCACAAATGCCCTCCCAAGGTCAGTGGTGCCCACAGAGGCCCTCTGAGGGGTATCTGCTACCACAGGGGCCCTTTTAGGGTGATGGCATCCCAGGGGTTCTTACAGGTGAAACGGGACCTCCAGGGGCCCTACCAGATACGTAGTCCCCTTTATGGGCAATCATCGGGTCGGCGACATCCCAAGGAGGCCCTCCTAAGGGCGGCGGCGCCCCCAGAGGTTCTCCATATGGGACCTGCTAGGTGCGATGGCACCCCCATGAGCGCTCCTAGTGGCGGTGGCGACCCTAAGGGCCCTCCCATAGGCGGAGGCGCCCTTGAGTGCCCGCCCAGGAGCAGCTGGGGCTCTGCCCTGGGCAGCTTGCCCCTACGGAACTTACCAGGGGTGGCAGCGCCCTCATGAACCCTCCCAAGGGCGGTGGCGCCCTTAGTGGCCCTCCCAGGAACGGCAGAGTCCCCAGGGGCCCTACCAGAGGCGACCCTCCTGGGAGCTCTATAGCGACGCCTACATAGGCTCTCTTTAGGGGTAACAGCGCTCCCAGGGGCGGTGGCGATCCTACTGGCCCTTTCATGGTCGGCGGCGTCCGTAAGGGCCGTCCCAGAAGAGGTTCCGACCTTGCCTTGGGTAGCGGCGCCCCTACGGGCCCTCCCAGGGGTGGCGAGGCCCTCACGAAACCTGCCAAGGGCGGCAGCGCCCATAGGGGCACTCCCAGGGACAGCGGAGTCCCTAGTGCTCCTACCAGGGGCGCCCCCTAACAGGGGCCCTATAGCTTTATTGGTCGTTGTGTCTACGTCCAGCAATCCCTCACTTAACTGTGATTGGTGGACGAAAATGTAAATCCACCGAACTACAGCCAATAGGAGAACAGCAGTCAGTTAACACAACACGCCAACTTATGTTTTGCTGTTGGATATTCATTCTGCTTTCCATTGTTCAGGGTGAAATGATACTGGAAATTCGATGGTATTGTATTTATTTAACGTCATAATATCTCCAAGAGTTCTAAATAGTGCAAAAACAACTGCTCCCAAGAGATCTGCTAGATGCGGGTACGTCCCCAGGGGACCTCACATGTGTAGGGGCGTCCTAATTGGCCCTCTCATGGGCAGCAGCGTCCCCAGGGTCCCTCCCAGGGCCGGTGGCACCCCTAGGTGCCTTCTAAGGGGCGGTAGCACCTCCAGGAACCCTCCCAGGAGTTGTGGTGCCTCCCAGGATTCCGTTCAGGGGCGGTTGCGCCCAGAGGAGCCCTCCCAAGGGATGTGGTACTTTGCAGTGGCCCTTTGAGTAGCGCTGGCGTTCCTTGGGGCCCTTCCTTGGTCGACGGCGTCCTTGGGTTCCCTCCCAGGGGCAACTGCAATCTAAGGAACCCTGTCAAGGGGCGGTGGCGCTCCCAGGGGCGGCTACGCCCCCAGGGGCCCACCTTAGGGGGGAGGCAGCGACCCCAAGGGCCCTGCCATGGGCAGTGGCGGCCTGAGGGGCCCTCCCTAGGGCAATGGCGCCACCAGGGGCAATCCTTAGGTGTGGCGATGACCCCAGGGGCCCTCCTTGTGCCGGGGGTGTCCTTAAGGGCAACCCCAATGGCGGCGGCGCCACAATGGCTCCTCCCAGGAACGTCGGGAGCCTTCCCAGAGGCCCTTATTAAGGGTGGTTGCTTCCCTATGGGCCTCGCCAGGGGCGGTGCCACTCCCTGGGCCACTTCCAGGGGCAACTGCGACCCTAGTGGCCCTCCCAGGGGCGGCAGAGCCCTCAGGGATACTACCAGGGGGTGTGGCGTCCACAGAGGCCCTTACTGAGGCAGTGGCGCCCTCAGGGTCCCTCCTAAGGGCGATGGCACCCCTAGGAGCAACACCGCCTCCAGGGGTCCTCTCAGAGGCGGTGGCGCCCTCTAGGTTCCTTCTAGGAGCGGTGGAGACCCCAAAGGCCCTCTTTAGGGCGGTGGCGCCCACAGGGGCCCTCCCAAGGACATCGGTGCCACCAGGGCCCCTACCCAGGGGCAGCAGCGCCACCAAGTGACCTTCCTAGGGCGGTGGGTCCCCCAGGGGCCGCTCAGGATCAACGGCGCCTCCAGGGACCCTTCCAGGGGCAGTGGCGTCCCAAGGTGCCCTACCATGTGAAACTGTTACCACAGGAGCCTTTCCATTGGCGGTGACTCCGCCAGGGTCTTTCCAGGGGTGGTGGTGCCCGCAAGAGGGGCCCCAAGGGCAACGGTTCCCTCAAGGGCTCTCCTTAGAGGTAGGAAAGACCCCAGGGCCTCCCGGGATCGGCGGGGGCCTTCTCAATGGCTCTCCATAGGGGTGGCGACGACCCCAAGGGCCTTGCCAAGGATGGAGGTGCTGCCTGGAGCCTTACCAGGGGCTGTGGCGCCCCCGGTGGCCCTTTAGGGGAAGTTGAGACCCTATTGGCACCCCCAGGGGCGGCGGCTCCCACAGGGACCCTCTCAAGGGCAACAGCGCCATTTGGGGCCCTGATAGGGGTAGCGGTGCCCCCAGGTACCCTCCCAGGGGCCCTGCCAGGGGCTGTGGTGCCGCAAGAGGCCCTTACATTGGCGGTGGTAATCCCAGGGGCCCTCCCTGTGCCCTCGGCGCACCTCTGAACCCTCATAGAGGCGGCGACGCCTTTACGGGGTCCTCTTAAAAGCGACGGAGCCTCCAGAGGTCTTTTTTAGTGGTGTTGGCACTTCTACGTGCCCTGCCTTTGACGATGGCGCCCCCAACGGACCTCCCAAGGACGGTGGCGCCCTCAAGAGCCCTTCCAAAGGCAGCGGTGCCCCAGGAGTCCTTCTAGGAGCGGTGGTGCCCCCAGGGGCCCTTCCAAGGGCAAACGAGCGCCGAGGGTCCATCCCAGGGGCCGAGGCGCACCGAGGTGCCCTCTGTAGAGGTGGCGGCGACACCAGGACCCCTTCCAGGGGGGGGTGGTGCCCTAAAGGTCCCTCCAAAGGGAGGCAGTGTCCCCAGGAACAATCCTGAGGGTGGCGGCGGCCCTAGGGGGCTTTCCAATGGCTGTGGCACCCCCAGGGCCACTCCCAGGGACAGCGGCGCCCACAGGGGCTCTTCTTAGGGGTAGTGGCACCCCTGCCAGAAGTGGTAGCGTCCCCAGGAGCCATCCCAGGGGCCGTGCCCCCTCCTCCCCAGCGGCACTGCGAAAGGCAGTGGCGCCCCCCGGGGCTGTGGTCCCCCAGGGTCCCTGCCAAAGGCGGTGGCACCCTCAGTGGCCCTTCCAGTGGCGGTTGCACCCCAGGGGACCACCCAAGGGCATCCGCGCTTTCAGGGGCGGAGGCGAACCCAAGGTCCTTCGATAGAGGTGGTGGCGACCCCAGGAGCCCTGACAGGAGTGGTGGCTTCCCAAGGGTCCTCTCAGGATCGGCAGCATCACCAAAGGATGTCCCAGGAGCCCTCTTAGGGACGGCCTTGCTCCAAGGGTCCCTCCCAATGGCGACGGTTTCCCTAGGGGGCACTTCCAAGGGCGGTAGTACCCCCAGAGACCATCCTTAGGGGTGGCAGCGACACCAGGGGCCATTCCAGGGGCTGTAACGACCCCAGGAGCCCTTCCAAGGGCGGCGGCATCCCCAGGGGTAGCGGTGTCCACAGGGGCTCTCCTTGGGGGCAGAGGCACTCACAGGGGCCCTCCCAGAGCCGGTGGAGTCCCCAGGGGCCCTCCCAAGGCCAACGTGCCCCCGGCGCTTTCCCAGGGGCGGAAACGCACCCATGGGCCCTCCATGAAGTTGGCTGTGACCCAAGGGGCCCTGCCAGGCGCGGAGGCGTACCCAGGGGCCCAATATAAAGGTGGCGGAGACCCCAGGGGCCCTGCCATGGGTAACGGCGCCCCACGGGGCCCTCCTATAGGTGGAGGAGCACCCAGGGGCCCTCCATTGAGGTGGGAACGATCCCAGGGGTTCTGCCAGGGCGATGGAGCCTCCAGAGACCTCCCAGGGGCGATGGTGCCCCCAGGGGTTCTTCCAGGGAAGGTGGCGCTTTCTAGGGCCCTTCCAAGGACGGTGGTGCCTCCAAGTGCCCTCCCAGATGCGGAGGAGCGCCTAGGAGCCCTCACAGGGGCGGAAGCGCCCTTAGGGGGCCCTCCCAAGGGCTGCGGTGCCCCAGGGACCTTACTTAGGGGTGGCAGCGACCTCAGGGGCCCTTCTAGGGGCGGAGGAGCTCCCAGGGGCACTGCCAGGGGCTGTGGCGCCCACAGGAGCCCTTACAAGAGCGGTGGCATTCCTTGGGGTGTCGGCGTCGCTAGGGGTTCTCCTAGGGGCGGCGGCGCTCCCAGGTCTCCTCCACCACTCCAGGTCTCCTCCACCACGCCAGATCTCCTCCACCCATCCAGGTCTCCTCCACGACTCCAGGTCTACTCCACCCATCCAGGTCTCCTCCAGGTCTCCTCCACGACTCCAGGTCCTCCACCACCACTCCAGGTCTCCTCCACCACCCAGGTCTCCTCCAGGTCTCCTCCACCCTCCAGGTCTCTCCTCCACCCTCCAGGTCTCCGCCACCACTCCAGGTCTCCTCCACCACTCCAGGTCTCCTCCATCTCAGGTCTCCTCCACCACTCCAGGTCTCCTCCACCACTCCAGGTCCTCCACCACTCCAGGTCTCCTCCTCCTCCAGGTCTCCTCCACCACTCCAGGTCTCCTCCACCACTCCAGGTCTCCTCCACCCATCCAGGTCTCCTCCACGACTCCAGGTCTCCTCCCAGGTCTCCTCCACCACGCCAGGTCTCCTCCACCACTCCAGGTCCTCCACTCCAGGCTCAGGTCTCACTCCACCACTCCAGGACTCCACACCCTCCAGGTCTCCTCCCAGGTCCAGGTCTCTCCACCCTCCACTCCAGGTCTCCTCCACCCATCCACAGGTCTCCTCCACACTCCAGGTCCTCCTCCACCACTCCAGGTCCATCCGCCCTCAGGTCTACTCCACCACCCAGGTCACTCAGGTCTCCTCCACCACTCCAGGTCTCCTCCACTCCACTCCAGGTCTCCTCCACCACTCCAGGTCTCCTCCACCACTCCAGGTCTACTCCACCACTCCAGGTCTACTCCACCACTCTAGGCCACCTTCACTTGTGTTCTATAATTTTAGCTTTCCTCGTGACGTATCAGCTATTTGATGCTAACTTTTACAGACCGATAAACGAGCTGAACACAGACACACACAGACAGACAGACAGACACACACACACACACACACCATTTCCTGGGGGCATATAGCTGATTAGTTGTTTGCATATTTTCAAAGCCTCACAGGTAAACAGGAAAGCCATGATTAAAACAAATGACACACAGGTCTGCTATTATGTCATATGGTTGTATAATCATTTCGAAACAGAAAAGAAAAGAAAAGAAAAAAAAAAGACTATTCTATACATGGCAACATATATATAAACGTTTTGGAAAGGTTAAACGATTTTCGCTTTCGTCGCTCTGAAACGCTCGCCCTGAGTTAAACAAAATGATTTCTGTATTTTTAGGGAATAAATATTTAAAGTGTAGTGCCTTTGATACCTTTGGCACTAGGCTGGGAATTTAAAGACTTTACTGGAATACCATTTTCCTTCCGAAGCAAATTATATGAAAATGGTTACTTAGAATGTAATTGCTATTGGACTCTCCGGGGTGGGGGTGGGAGGGCTTAAAGGACTAGGACTCTAATGTACTTATATACGAGTACTATTCAGAGTCGGTCACGAGGTACAGACGACTAGAAATAATTATTCTTGGGTGGAAATTATTTGCTTTTTTGTCTTTTTATTTTGGCATGATGCTACGTCATAAAATATACATACATACATACATACATACATACATACATACATACATACATACATAGAAAGAAACATGCAAAGGGCTTCCTCACTCACCAGTGTTCACCATCCATCAAGATTTCTTTCTCTCAATCTTTCATGTGACTTTTTTTTTCCGGGAAACAAAAGTCATATTTCTTCTATAATATTTCTTGTGCTCATATTCTCTTCCTCTATTATTGATACTGGGAACTTCACTTACTGTAGACACAAAGATTTTGAACCATTTACAACAGCATCAGTGGAATACAAATTACAAACAGATTTTTTTCGTCATCATTATCATCAAAATATACACAAATATTAATCAGTTTCTGTATCTCGTGTGTTCTATCTACTATGACCTCATTTCCATTCTCTATCTATAACAACCCATTTCAATTTCCAGCAGTCCATCCCTCAAACGACCTAATCTTCACCCTTGTCAGGATACAGAACGCTGGCATAACTCAGTGTCCGGGTCACGTACTCCACGATATCGACATGTTTTGCATATTCAGTTATCGCCAGGGAAGGGAGAGATGTCAGGTCCTACGCGCCCAGATAGGTACCTGTACTCTCACGTGCTTGGGAGATTGGATGCCTCAACTACGCTATCTTGGCTAAGTATGGTATGTATGGACGGACTCTACATGAAGTAAACAACAGGGTAATAGGAAAGTAAGGGTCTCTTGTTACTGTGTTTTGGTGGGTATTGAAAGTTAGTTGATCCATTTGTGAATGTAATTTGCTATTGCCATATTCATGCTCATATTGTAGTCGAGGCAATTATTGGAGGAAGGTAACATTTCCTCCACCACAGTTGTCCATTCCTTCTTGACATTCCTCATTTATCTAGTCATTCTTAGCGTGTCCTTCCCCCCCCCCCCACACACACGCTGGTTCACACCCTTCCCTCCTCACTACACCCATACAAGTATATAAACCTCGTGTTATTAAATCCACCCAGTTTGCACAAACTCCTTAAATTATACCATATATAATTACTACACTTCTTTACACTCATACAGTTACACGTTCTATTTTCATCATAGAAAGTGGGAAATTGTCATCTTGGAAAAATAGGAAATTTTCGTCATAGTAAAAGAAAAATTTTCGTCTAGTAAACGGGGAATTCTCGTCATTGAAAATGGGATCTGACTAACTACCAAACAGTTTTCTCACTTACGAAGTTTACAGTATTTTTCCGGTCCGTGAAGCAGAGTACGAGAGCAAATGTTGTAACGTACCATTAGCAGTGAGAAAAGGTAAAAATACTATGACCACTGGGTTTTGTGAGGCGTAAGAAGGTCGTCGTCTGACACACATTCATTTATGTTGTTACCGTAAACAGTAATGCAGGGAAATAAACTCCAGCGAGAATTTTAGCTCTTTACAGTATAAGTATAGGGAGGGAGAGACAGAGGATGCTCTTGCGACACACAATATCCACAGCTTAGTGCCCACGATCACCCCTTATTCCTATGTACCATGAAAAGATTTAGTCTACAGTGTGTTGTATCCGCAATGCCTCTAGGAGCTACTTCCCCGAAAGACTTTATATTTTATCGACGTAACCAATCCTCTCCAGCGATACAGAATTTCTCTATTACCACTGATCAACATTGAGGGCCTCCATGGAAACTTCTGCTGCACGAAATACCTGTAAACACTGTTTGAACATTATGTAATATATCTTTTAACTTAGTATTGTAGCCATTTTTTTTTTACTCGCCATTGTAAAATTATATCCAAGCGATGTTCCAATAAAAACAATTTCTTTATTTTATCTTCTTCTGTCTGTCTGTCTCTGTGCCTCTCTAGGGTTGAGGGAGGTGAACAGGTATAAATGTAACATAGTTTTCATGTTATGGTTAAACTGTTATCGTATCTGCACCTCTTCTCGCCTTCCAGGAAATTTAATACAACCAATGGACCCAGGCAACAGTAACACTCGCGAGTTTTATTTCTCACGTAAAACTTACCTGATACTCACTTTATTTTTATGATCCTTCAATTGTTTCATAGTTCCTTCTACTTTATTTTTCTAACTTTTGCTTATAATCCCAAAGGAAAAGATAGAGTAAATAAAAGCAACGTGTGTGTGTGTCTGCGTGTGTGTGTGTGTGTGTGTCTGCGTGTATCAGTGTCTGCGTCTGTGTGTGTGTGGTGTTACGGGCATAAAAAGTTAACCTTCCGGTATACTCAGAATCATCGTGCATAATAATTCATAACTAAGTTGACTCAACGTACACAAACCTGGAAGTCGTATCTATTTTCAGGAAGGAAGGAAGACAATTAAGTCAAGTGGTACGGTAATAGTGGAGCAGTACCTGAGAATGCGATCTTGTCTCTCTTCTTAGTATTTGAACATGAATTTGTCCAATTAATTTTTTGTGACTTTCGAATAACATTTTTGAGGTTTACATAAGAATGGATTCTTTTAGTTAAAATTAAAATTGGTTTTCCCAGACAGGAAAATTCCTTTATTAAATACACTTGACTGTGCAAAGAGAGACTTAATTGTCTCTGCTCCGGAGCTGAGTGCCTTCTAAAAATAAATGAAATTAATTCTGAGGAGAAACTTTGTATTCTCTCTTTTCTTTCCTTCCTATTAGTCTAGATTTTATTTGTTACTTTAAATATTTTGTTACAATGTTATATACTGATTGCTTCATAGTTTATAGGATAATAATAAATTTCAGGATTAAAAATC